CAGGGCTACATAAACAGGTAACAGTGTTATAAAGATAGCAGGGTCAACTTATGCCCAGAAACTAATTCAAACCCCTGTTTTAGCTGTCTAAACAGCTGGCAAATTATCCAATGTTTTTATTAGTTTTAATGACGATTTAAAATGCAATTTAATTATTGCCCATTACCGAAGCAATGTACGACCTTGCTGGTCCCGTATTTTGTCACGTCACTCGTGGCGGGGGTCCCGGGGGAGGTTATACCGAGTTCGGGAAAACATGCGATTCGGCTGATGTACATATTGGGAATCGTGACTGATTTCGCACGAACGTCAGCCAAAAATCTGGCAGCGGTCACTCGTAACCAACTCGGAAATCATGATTGGGGGGGGGGGTTGCCCTGCTGCGATTAGGCCTGGACAATACCTAGTGATTATATACCGGCCACTGATTAGATGGAGTACCAGACTGAGTACAATTTTTATGGGAGAATATAAGAAACTGCCGCTATCAAAACACGCGTGTTTGATTTCCACTTTACACGCCTTTCTGGTCCCAGTCCAACACATCAAGAAAGTATTTATATAAATTTATGATAATTTAATTGCAATATAACCACGATTGGACCCTAAATAAAAGTTCATCTCGAATTATACGGAGTTGCTTGCTTGAGCGCTAAGCATACTGAGGTTGTTGTCTGCAAATGCCCGAACTATTTGCGGTGTTACATCGGCTGTGATGACGTCATGTAATCCATGACTGATTGAAAACAGTCAGCTGCCTGGTCATAGTATATCGGCTTATTATCCAACAGCATACGCGAGTCTCCGGGTTATTGCAAAGTACGAGCGAACTGCAACATGACAATTCCGGCAAAACGTTTGCAGAGTGTTGACATGATAAATGTGACATCAGCGTCGCGGACTGATGAATTTAATTTCACATGTATTATATAGAAAGGTTGGTAACATATACTATCATATGAAATGATGCATATGATTGGGTTCGTCACGCACCAATAAACCACGTGATCTCAAATAGTCTCCACGAAAACAGACCAAATTAAACATATGACCACAATCCCCAAATCAATTAGCTTGAGAGAAAGAAGTTTTCACTGAGTTCGATTTCAGCGGATTTCATTTACATGTAGATTACCTCGGTTTTAAATTGCCGATTTTGTGAAGGAAATATTACATTCTGTGGTTAGCATTGGATATTCAATAGGTTTCAATTTCAAGCCCATTTAGCTATTAGCGAAATATGAATGAAAGTGAAACCTAGCAAATAATTAATATTTTACTGTGTTATGCAGCTGTGTTCGTTGCACTGAGACAGCTGTTCAGCTCAGCCTATATTGTAAAATTAACAATAAGATTTCGAACATTGGTTTCCTTGGATATGTTTGTTGGGTCTCCACTTACATCAGGTTCGGTTTATTAGGGTTTCCACTTACATCAGGTTCGGTTTGTGGGTCTCCACTTACATCAGGTTCGGTTTATCGAGGTCTCCACTCGTATTGGGTTCAGTTTTATATGCAGGGTCTCCACTTACATCAGGTTCGGTTTATACAGGTCTCCACTTATATCAGGCTCGGTTTATATGGGTCTCCACTCATATTGGGTTCAGTTTTATATGCAGGGTCTCCACTTACTAGTACATCAGGTTCGGTTTATTCAGGTCCCCACTTTTATCAGGTTCGGTTTGTGGGTCTCCACTTACATCAGGTTCGGTTTATACAGGTCCCCACTTACATCAGGTTCGCTTTGTGGGTCTCCACACATCATGTTTGGTTTATATGGGTCTCCACTTACACCAGGTCGGTTTATAGAGGTTTCCCTTTACATTCGGCTCGGTTTATATGGGTCTCTACTTACATTCGGCTCGGTTTATATAGGTCTCCACTTACATCAGGTTCGTTTTATATGTGTCTCCACTCATATTGGGTTCAGTTTTATATGCAGGATTTTCACTTACATCAGGTTTGGTTTATACGGGTCTCCACTTACATCAGGTTCGGTTTGTATGGGTTTCTACTTATATCAGGTTTGGTTTATAGAGGTCTCCACTTACATACACCTGGTTTGGTTTAAACCCGGATTGCATTATTTAAACTAAAAATTCGTTATACAAAAATGCGACATGAATTGATATGATATGATTTCTAGGTTTTCTGTCGTAGTGTTCATGACATTTTTAACCAAATTTACTTTTATACTTTTCCGAATGTACTTGGAGTTCCTTGTAAATTGTTTTGCTATCTCATATAGAAAACAAACAAAAAATGCTCCAAATCACCCTAAAATAAAAACATTTTATTGTTTTGATGACTAATTTGCATATAAAGGTATAATCGTATAGTTCAATGAGAAATATAGGTGAGAAGACAAATGTATATATGGGTCTCATCCTTAATTT